GGGGGGGGAAGAGAAATGGGGAATCTGTGACTATGAGTGTGTAAATTGGATGTAATATCTAAAACTGCTGAAGTGTGACTGGTGTGCTGCTCCATAGGCTGTCAGGGTCTGAGCTGCTGAACTGGGATTGTGGCTATACTGACACTCATGGTGTGACCTGCAGGCTGATTGCTATTATAATTACTAACTTGATTTACTGTTAGAGTATTGTGAGGTCATCCATGCCCTGTAGCCTTGGGGACAACACTTCACTGATCTGGACTGCATCCAGACTGCCATAGTCACCTTCCTAGGCAGGGGGTAAAAAGGGGTGGCGTAAAGCTGCCTCAAAGGCTTTTTGCTGCTAGAGCCCAGCTGACCATGGGGTGACTCAACTCAGCCTGGCGGGGGAAGCCTCCCAGCAAACTCCACAACTGGAATCAACAGGGGAGACACAAACCCAGCGGAGGGATCCTGCCTTCAGGGCCCTAGAGGCCAGTTCTCAGGGGAACCCTGCATGCAGGCCTGGGGCTTACTAGCTCCCACACAGCCAGTCCTCCCCTTGCCCTGCTGGCTCCAGACTCCCCTCAACAATTGTCTCTCCTTCCCCCTGGGGGGGCATCTCACTCCCCATGGGTTGCGGGGCAGACTCTGGCCCTGGTAGGGAGGGGGAGCCAAGGCAAACTCGGAGCCTCTCCCTGAGCTGCCAGCAGACAAGGCCCCGGGAATCCAAGCAATCTCCTTGGGGTTACACCTGTATCCTGTCCTGTATCGTTAGGTAAGTAGTTGTGCGCATACTCAGAGGCTTATATGGGCTCGTCTGTGGTAAACTGAAAGGAATTAGCTGCCCCGAGCTTCTCTTTGGGCATATTTCATAGGCCTTGGGGGGAGGAAATTTGCCCTTAGAAGGGTTTATGCTCCATCTGTTTCCTAAAGCTTCTTGTATTCCCTTCAAACATGCAGGATCCTCCAGAGCAGAGGCCGGCGCGATGGAGCTGAGCGGGATTCTGGGGGGCTCGGTCACTTTCCCCACGGGGGTCCCAGCAGAGCAATTTAAAACTGCTGCCTGGACAGTAAACACAGCTAACAGCATAGCCACGGTGGGAGCAGGAAACCCCCCCGCTCTCATTGTGTCACACTCATCCTACGAGGGACGCCTGACAGTCTCTGCCCAGAACTACTCCCTGCAGATCAGCGGCCTGAGGGCGGAGGACACGGGCACCTACAGCGCTCAGATCACCATGGCCACCGGCACCGTCCACAGACAAAACTTCACGCTGCGCGTGTACAGTGAGTACAGGGTGGATTTTTATTATTATTGTTTCTGTTAATTGTGACATTCAACAATGGCTAGCTTATACACTGAGCATTTACAGAGAACACTAAACTTCGATATAATAACACTGCAGGCAGGATTTATTTGTGCTGCCAGAGGCCCTTCTGTAATAGGAACCAAGTCCTGAAGAGATCTGCACTGCAGGCTTGTGATTCCACTGTGCAAATCGCGAGTACACACACCAAAGTCATGTGACACTGCTGAGCCACATGGCAGGAAAATCAGACCCTAGAAATAGATGAATGGGCAGACAGCACAAGGGGCCTGTGCAAAGATAATACTGTGAAGCACTCAGAGAGTAACCTCCACTCTCTGACCTGAATCCTCACTTGCACTGTTAGCCACTACACATATGTCAGGCACAGTGCACCCCTCATTAATATGGCATTATGCATAGCACATAGGCAGTCATATTAACCAAACTATATTACGCCTTTCCCACAATGCTGTTCACTGCTGCTCATGCTAAGGAAATACCCATAAGGCTTTGCAAAGCCCAAATCAGCTCGGGACAGGTTGCATGAATGCTCAAAGGCAGGTTGCATGAATACTGAGTCCTCATACAGGATGGGAGGGACCTTTATGGCCCACTGGCACTAGGAATGTGGTATCCAAAACAATGATAAGGAAGCTACAGGTGGATACAAGAAAACGAGACACAAAGCTGCTTGCCGGGTTAAGTCTTGGGTCAGGTCAGCGAGCTCTCTCACTTGGAAACAGTGTCTTCACTAAAGCACAACCTCTGTGCCCAGGGTGGCCCATCCATATAGGCAAACTAGGTGGTCACCTAGGGTGGCAAGTTAAATGGGACGCCAAATGGTGGTTCAATATCATGGAGGGGTTTGGAGGTGGGGGCGCCGATTGCATGGTTCGCCTAGGGCGCCAGTTGCTGGCAGCTAGTCCACTGCGGTATTTTAAGTGTAAAGAAGCCCTCAGAGGCTATGTCTGAACGCGTCTGCTCTCCCAACATTTTTCACGGAAGAGCAGACACGCTCTGTCAGAAGCCCTGTATGCCTCATCGTATGAGGAATAAGGGCTCTTCCAAAAGAGGAGGTTTTCCCCACATTTGGCCCCGTGTAGACGGGCCAAATGTCAGAAAAGCCTCTTCCGAAAAGAGTCAGATAAAGGTACGTACATTTCAGTTCACAATTTGTGTATCATTTCCGAAAAAGAACTGCAGCGTAGACAGAGCCAGAGAGTCACAGGATGGAGCAGATTGCTTAGCATAAGTAGGTTAACCTATTTCAAGGGACCATTCCAAACGAAGTGACCCATTTACACCCCACCTTGTATTTTACTGTCAATCCCTGAGTACATTTGACAGACCTGAAGCATAGCTCTGTGTGGCCTGACCGCTTATACCTCTTGCCAACAGAAGATACTAGCTCACCCTTCTTTTCTCTTTCAAGCTCTGTACAACAACACTGCAAACACTAACGAGGGGGCATCTGACTGTCTACACGAATCTAAAAAGTGTAAACATCACCTAAAGAGAGGACTTGTTTAGTGTAGCAGAAGTCGTCACTGGGGTGAAATGAATAGGCTGAGCTGACCAAAGTCTGTTTTAAGATGAATATAAAAGCATTACTATGGATCTTCAAGGCTGAGGAACAATCCCCCCAAGAGAAATGCTGGAAGCGCCATAGCTTGGGACACAGTTAAACTCTACTAGACAAAATGCTGGAAAATCTACTCAGAGGAACAGATTTCCGCTTGTCATGGGGTGGATTGGAATAGAGGGACTTCACATTTCCAGAGCTTTGAGGATGATTTGATAGCAGCTCCTGGCTTTCTCCTGTTCTGGTGATTTCAGACACACGCTTGTAAGAATCTGCTCTTGTTTCGCTTCCCACCAGCATTCTTGTCATTTGTCTATTTCTCCCAAACAGAACGACTGGCAGAGTCGGACATCACAGTCACCCCCGTGCTGGGCTCAGTGAACACTGTGAATGGGACATGTAGCATCACCCTGAACTGCACCGTGCAGGGGGCAGGAGAGGACGTGAACTGCACCTGGAACCAGACAGAGGCCAGCACTGTCATCTCCACAGGGCCGTCTATTCACATCTCGCACAGACTGGGAGACGAGGGCGCCTCTGTTACCTGCATGGCCAGGAACCCCGTCAGCAGCAGCTCAAAATCCATCTCCCTGAAGGAAGTGTGTGCAGGTAACAATCTGCTTTGTTACAAACATTCTTTTTACCTATTAGGTAAATCAGACATTAGCCACCTATGGGTGAAATTCACTCCTGTGTAACGGACCAGTACAAGTCCTGCATCCCAGTGAAATCCCACACAAGCCCTAGTATAAGGTTTCAAGTGGAATATAGATCATGGGCTGATCCCTTCTCAGAGTGAATTTCACTCTTGTTACCCTGGGAAAATGTGCTTTAAAATAATCTGTAAAACAATTAGAATCGATTTTTGTTACGTCATTTCTGTCAAATCCAAATGCAGCATTTTATCCTGATCCAATTCTGATCCTGACAGGAATGTACAGTAGTTTCTATCTAATATCAAGCATAATCTTGTATGCAGGTAGCATGGTTTAAAGGGGTAGAACTGGTCAGAATGTGATTTTTTTTTTTTACCTGCAGAAAATGTAGATAATTGTGGAGAAAAAATGGAGCACTGAAATATTTTGGCTGAAACTCTAAACAGCTCAATGAGGAACTGCTGCTGCTGTGCCTTATGGGAATTGTAGTTCAGATGTTTCATGCTCCTATTCTCCTCCATAGCTCCTTGATCAGAATACATCTGCCTTCCTGTTCCACAGTCTCCCCACTGGGAAGACTCTTGTTACAGACTAACTCGGCTACCCCTCTGAATCTCTGGGAAGTTGTTTATCATGGCAATCACTGACCATGATGCATTTTGAGAGATGTAGTTAAGCTGTAGAAATGTATCCGTGTTAGTCTGGTGCAGCTGAAACAAAAAACAGGACTATGTAGCACTTTAAAGACTAACAAGATGGTTTATTAGGTGATGAGCTTTCTTGGGCCAGACCCACTTCCTCAGATCAAATAGTGGAAGAAAATAGTCACAACCATATATACCAAAGGATACCATTAAAAAAATGAACACATATGAAAAGGACAAATCAAAATTCAGAACAGAAGGGGGATGGAGGGGAGGGGGGAAGGGAGGAAGGTAAATGTCTGTGGACATTTAAGTTGGGGAGCCAGGCCCATAAGGATGAGTAGGGAATGTAGCAATCAAACCACACCCCTATAAGCATAGTGGCAGCATTTCCAAGTTAAACTATTTCAGGATTCGGGCCAAAATATTTCCTTTTTTTTCTGACAACTGACTTTTTTTCCTCCTGTTTTCTGCCTCTGATTTGGGGGAGGGGGGAATAAAAAATGTCAGTGGAAAGCAGACACTTGTTGCCATAAACTTAATTTTGTCAAAAACCCTATTATCCACTAAAAGCCAGTTTAGATGGATACTTTTTAACTGGCCCTATAAAGCGTCTTGAGTGGAGATGAAGCTACAGCTGGCTAAATCAATTCCAAGCCTTGATTCTACAATCAGATCCTTGCTTCCATACAAAACTTCAAAGGGGCTATGCACTGGGATGTAATCCCACAGTTGGAAGGAGCTCACTAGGCCTTTCCCTGAAAGTATCCAAACCTCTTTCTTCAGTTATTCAAACCAGAAAATGTCAGGAGCTATGGTCTCTCTCACCAAACTTCCTGCGTTGTCTCGCTCTGAGTAGGCCAAATTTACCATAGTGACTACGTTGATTGTGCTATTTCAGAACTTCTGTTTCCAAAGAAAAAGGAAGTGTAGAGTCTGCAGAAAATATGGCTGGTTTTTTATGGCAACGCAACATCTTTATACAAAACAAGTTCCAAGTTAAATTCGAGTTTTAGATTAAACATAAAATCAAGTCTTATTTTATTCAAACCATTTATTAAATATCAGAGGGGTAGCCGTGTTAGTCTGAATCTGCACAAGCGGCGAGGAGTCCTGTGGCACCTTATAGACTAACTGAAGTGTAGGAGCATAAGCTTTCGTGGGCAAAGACCCACTTTGTCAGATGCATGTAGTGGAAATTTCCAGAGGCAGGGTGTGGAGGTGTGAATTCCAAGAGGCTGGAGATGACGAGGTGGATCCAATCAAGGAGGATGAGCATTCAGTCTTTGTTTAAACACCTCCAAATCAGCTGCTAGAAGTGGGCCTCATCCTCCTTGATTGGATCCACCTCGTCATCTCCAGCCTGATCCTGGCCTGCATATTTATTCCTGCCTCTGGAAATTTCCACTACATGCATCTGACGAAGTGGGTCTTCGCCCACAAAAGCTTATGCTCCTACACTTCAGTTAGTCTATAAGGTGCCACAGGACTCCTCGCTGCTTAACCATTTATTATTTTAAATAAAACCAGATCTTAAAAGTCTTTACTCAGTTTTACTCACACATTACAAACTCTCATTAATTCCATCGCAGGGTTTTAGGGAAAACATGAGACATGAGCATGATAGTATTTACAAGTATTCAGTTCAAAGGGGTTATTCCGAGAACTCTCATGATATGCCTGTATCATCATATGGCCAAAAAGTCACCAAGGCAGCTCCCTAGATGCATGTGTACGTTAATACATTCACTGATACTGGCAACAAAAGATAATCTCACTTCCTCCTTCCTGCTGCGCTGTGATGCTTTGTATATGCATCTGATTTTTTATGCAGAATTTTGGGTTGCCAGGTGTCCCGTATTCTACTGGACAGTCCGGTTTTTGGGCCCTCTGACCGGTAAAAAAAATCCAGAAAATACCGAACATGTGCAATGTCCGGTATTTCCTGGATTTCTGGCAGGGCGCCGGACAGAAGCCTGGCAGGGGCGGGGTGAGTTGCTGGGAAGGGGCGCGATCGGTGCTGGGAGCCCTGGCTGCGTCTGACACCTTGGAGAGGAGGAGAAACTCTGTCCCTGCTCCTGAGAGCATGGTGGAGCCGCAGC